ACGAGAGTGATGAGGATGATTACGTAGAACCCACTCCATAATTTAGATCTCTAGACATTTATGAACTTTTTGTGATTTTGAAACTAATTTTGAAAGACTTTATAAGTCTTTAATTGTGATTTTAGATACTTTTTAATGTTATATTAAGTTTGTGTTTTTATGTTTTGTTTAGATTGTTTATAATTGTGTGTGTTTGATTGGGCTGAATAAAGTAGAATTGAATTGAATTGCATTTGCACGTGGGCCAGTTTCTGCTGCCAAAAATATTTAAGGAAACGCGATGGATAGCGTGGTTTTGTCCGTCACTTTTCTGGGATTTTTTTTAAAAAATCCCATAAAAGCGATGGACAGCATGGTTTTGTCCATCAATTTTTAGGGATTTTCAAAAAGAAAATTTCCAGAAAAGCGACGAACTGAGTCGCCTTTTAGAAATAAAAAAATTAAAATTAAAATAAAGCGACGGATTCCGTCGCTTTTGTTAAAAATAATCAAAAAGAGACGTTGATGGTCGTTGTTTGTTTTTGTCGGATTTTGTCTAATGGAGGGTAGCTTCGTTATTTAGTAAGTCCAACATCCCGTCTGGTCTTGTGACGCAGTGCATGGGTAGCTCACTATCGTTGTTACCACTTTGGTATGCTTTTCTTCCTCCTACTCACTATCGTTGTTTACTTTTCTGTAGGTGGTCTTGAGACAGAGTGCATGGATAGCTCTGATCCCCCACCCTTCAAAAATATTTTCAGAAAGTGTCTTTTATTTTTAGCTAGAGAATCAAAATTACTTTTTAGGAAAATAATTTCTGACTCGGAAACCAACCTCATATAATCGATCTAGGAATGACCCACACACCCGTAATAAGATACAACCCCGATGATTGATCCAAAATTTGATCTTGAGATCTGACCAGGACCTGACCCCGACTTTCGGCTTGAGACCCGACATTCAAACTGGATAGGATATCCGACCCAATAAATGACACCGACATTCAAATTTTGACATGTACGATCGACTAATCCAAAATTTGAACCCGTCACTCGAAGTGAGACCTGACTTTCAAATCAGGACTTGATCCAGACAACCAACAACTGATGTGAGACCCAACTTTTGAATCAGGACCCGACTCGTGAACCAACAACTGAGTTTGTATTCACACTTTGCTTGATATTAGTGAAAACAACTTGAAATCCTGTGTGAAAGGTCGTAGTTTTTACTCCCTTGAACAATGACGTTTCCGCGTAAAACTTTTTGTCTTTATTGTTAAGTACTTTATCGCATTCTAGCAAACTATTTACCTAGAACTACAGTTCACGGTGAACTACCATATCTCAAAATCTAACTATTTTTATACGATTTATGAAAAATTCATAAAAAATTACCCTGTTTGTATATTGACAAGTGAAATATACCAATGGAGTTCTAAAAAATTCCTAATTGTATAAATAGAGAATTTGTATATACTTATCCTATTTGTATATTCGCACACGAAATATACAAACTGCGCGAAATATACAAATCGCAACCTCCATAGCAAGCAAAACTATAACTATGGAGCGCAATTAACGAAACTATATCTATAAAGCCTTATTATGTCTATTATGATTGCTATTTCTAATTTTTTCTCAATAAAAAAGGAAAAATTACCTAAATACACAACTTATTTTACCATATTTTCAAATATTTCCTACCATTTGAAAGAAATACAAAAATCCCTACTCCCTCTTATTCTCAGAGATGTATCGGTCGAATACATCACTTTACGCGATGTATAGGAAGATACGCGATATATTAGACCTGTATCTCATACAATAATAAGATATATGTTAAGGATTTATGGACTACTCAAAGACATGAAACATCAATAATATGGACAGATACATTGTCCTCGTTTTGACTGGTAGACTTGGGCTTTAGAAGATTATGGCCCTATTAGGAAAATATCTATTAAGACTTAAGTCTTAAGTAAAGCATTTTAAGAAGTTATAAAACAAGCAATTTAACCTAAAATTAGGACAACTTCAGCCGTCAAAGATGGAAGAAGACAAAAGTCCTCAAGATATTACAATCCAAATTTTCTCATGGCTTCCAGTTAAGTCTTTAATGTGTTTTAGGTGTGTTTCGAAATTTCATAATTCAATTGTGTTGGAACCAAATTTTGTGGATCTCCATTTATCCAATTATTCTAAGATCAATGGTGGTGATACTAAGTTGATTGCATGCGTAGACGATGTTTGTTACGCTATAGAAGATCATCGTGATGAAGAAGATGGAAATGCCACCAAGTATCATCAAATTGACAATTTTAGTAAGCTGTATGATCGAATTATTAATTTTCGTTTAGATTATAATTATCATTTTGAGTCGGTTAATGGGTTGTTTTGTATATGGGATCTGAAGTATATTGCCATTTGCAATCCCGCTACTAGAGAAGTAAGATTTCTTCCTGATGTTCCTCATGAGGGCGAGGACTTTATATGTTCGATAGGTTTTGAGCCTGAAGAAAACAAGTATAAAGTTGTTGTGACTATTGAATCAAGAGCATGGGTTTTCACTTTAGGCATAGATAAATCATGGAGAGAAATGATTAAATATGACGAACATGGTTTTTCTATTGCAGGATACATATCTGGAATTTGCATTAGTGGGATTATCTATCGAGTTAGCCTTGATCCGGACTATTGTATAGTTGCGTTTGATGTTAAATAAGATATTTTCACAAGTATCACAATGTCGATTGAATTATGTCCTAAGTTTAGTGATTGTGATAATATGCTAATAGAAGTGAATGGAAAAT